GCTGTTTTCTTTTCAGATGGCTGCAAATGATGGCCTTGTTCCATCATTGCACCTTGGAAATGAAGCAAGTAAGTATTGCATGGAGTTGTCATTGCACTCGATAACTAATCCTTTTTCTGAGGTGTGCAGAGAAAGATTTGGATAGAAATTGTCTTCCGCGTGTCTTATGTTTCTGAAATTTTGTATCTAAAGGGCGATCAAAATGAATCAATCGTTACGGAGACACATGTTCACAATCCTGTTAATCCATACACACTTCGTCTAGCTTCCTTGCTTTGCTTACGTTTTTGTACCTCTCTTCTATCCATGTTTTTAGAATTGGATCACCCTCGGAGTCGTTCGACCATGAAGAGAAGGTGAGTTTGCTTCGACTTGAGATCTCAATTAGTTTTGATTGGTTGGTAATTGAGTCACAAAAGCAAAACAGTGTCAACAGTTAACTATGTGTTCATTATTACGGATGCCGAGAATTCATTGTCCATCATTCGCAGCCTGAGTGAGCGTTTTAGACTGTCGGCAATTGATGAAAACTCTGGGAAAAAGGCCAGGTTCGATCAAGGAATGGCTGGTTCTGGAACATCTCTTGGGTATGAAGTTTTGTGCTAGAATTATGTAGATAATGTAGATATAAAAGACTTGTATGGCTGCGAATCCGATAAACAACTCAGCTTTTCGTCGTTTTCGTAATACTGTTGCTGGTTTCGCGAACTGCCGCAGTGGACGAGCTAGCAGTGAAAAATTTTGAGATTCCTACAACCGCAACATCTTGTTTTCGAGATCCTATGTAATCTTTGTAGAGTGGCGGATGACACGAATAAATCGGAAGGTTCTGGAGAAAGTAGCTGTTGTGTGGAGAACAAGAACATTCTTGCTATCGTTGAGAGAATGGAGATTCAGTCTCGTGCCGTGGAACGCCTTGTATTACACTTGAATTCCATGTGTAGAAGTGGTTTTGTTCCGACGGTAAGTTCCTTGCATTCTCAGTGTTGCGATTAGAAAGCATCCTATTGGAAAAAAGTAAGAGGTGGTCTGTGGTGCTGACGAAAAAAGCCATGTGAAATGGCTCAGAACTGGAGAAATGCGACCGCTTCATTGCCCGTTGATTTTCGCATTGATGACTCTCATCGGTGCTGTCCTCTTCTACACTAATTCTCTTTCTCTCTCTGCTGCTAAACGGCTAGAGACCTGCGGCGAGTGGTTAGCCAGTTATTAGGCGTGCTGGGCCGATAGCGCTGCGGTGGTAATGTTAGATCGCCGGTGGCAAATCCGTTGCTGTGAATTGCATGCCGTTGCTTCCTCTTGTCTCTACTGTGTTGCCTTACCTTATCGTGAAATCGTCGATTGGGAACGGAATGGCATGGTTAATTTCACTATGTGGCTGATTATGACGCGACCTATTCCTTGATACTACGCGTAATCTTTAGTGACACTTGTGGACCATGTGTATTACTGCAAAGAACGTAAGATGTGGTGTTTGTGAATCTTAGTTTTTCATTCCACCACGACTCGTATTTCGTAGTAGCGTATCTCTTAACCTATTGTTCCAAATGCGATCATTATGTAGTGTTGAAAATGTCCGGTTTTAATAATTCCAGGATGGTACACTGGAAAGGAAGGTCAAATTCCAATTATTTGACATTTTGTCCGAGCTTTCAGATGCACGGACTGGTTATCATTTACGTTTGGTAAGTTGTTCCGTATTTTCATTAAAAAAAAAAAATGTTTCCAAATTAATGGTACTGAACTAATGACGCAGCCCTAAATATGGGCGTCAATCAGCTTCAGTCCATAAGCAAGGAGAACACGGCTGGACCGTGTATAACCAGGGTCAACCCTGGAGGTGGTAAGGTCACTCCTACGGGTTGACGATTTCGATTTTGTCGTTGAACTTACCACCACCCAACCTACTCCGTCTCCATCTAGAATATCCCCTAAATTGGCTCCGAATGTGGCGAAGGAGGAATGGTATGTAAAGTTACTGAAGCACCTTTCAAAACAGCAATTTCAGTACATCTCTATCCATCTGAGGGTATTCTTTTCCCATATCAAACCTTTATCTAAAAGTCATACATACAACAATCTCTCCCCCCTCCCAGTTACTCGCCAATGCTCGGCGTTGACAAACTCCAGGAAATTAAAGGAATCTTGCGCGGAAAATTCTTGCACTCTTTCCTAACATGAATATGTCAGTTGTGATCACTGGAAATAGCACACAAAGTTTCACGCATGAAGATTCGGTTTCTGAAGAGAAACAAACGTACAAAAACTACACGTTATGGACCATCGAAGGACCAGGAGGCAGAGCCAGGCGAGGCATGGAAAGAAGACGGCGTTAAGCGCGCGATTTCGGAGAGTGGAGACAAATCGATCGATGGAATAGGATGGAGTAGAAGTGTAAGATGTGAATGCAACGAAGCAGAAGGCCAGAAAGAGCTTCTAGTGAATGCACTCCAAGAACCAAGTTTGAGCATCCCCGTCGCCAGCATTCGTGAAAGACGTCCGTGGGCAATTCGAACGCGTAGCAGCCTTTTCGAGTTTTCGAATTTCTAATCAAAACGAAAGCAATACTTCAGTTCTTTTCACTATTATCGTGGATAATGAGTCTCAAGCCAGTGATTTATGGCTGAAATAGAATCATGATTTTTCCGCGCAAGATTCCTTTAACGCTCATTTGCGCTGTAAATTACTATTCGCCATTTATCCTTCAATTCTATCCTTATTGTTAGCTCGTGACTAGTTCAGATAGACAACTGTGACCCTTGCAACATGGAATTTTAAGAGCTTCTGGTTTTGTTATCAAATCCGCTATTACCGCTACGCCTGTTCTTGTGATTCAATGTGGTGTTGTACTTTTTTTGCCTGATTTTCCCATATGACCGCATATTTTTTATTCAATTCGCCGCACATGATGTGGTTCAGACGTCGTTATTCCTAGTGGCGATGAAATCATCAGTCATTAAATTGACATAATTGCAAGTTTTTAAGCTGGCTTTGTGGTAATTTCTGCACAAATAGTTGCTCGGTCAACACTTATCAGAATCAGAGTAAACGAATAATTTCCTTTAGCATATTAGCGGGTCATTCTACACTGGTGTGCAAAACTTAGGGACGAGATAGGTGAAGTATCATAACCTTTATTAGCTTTGTGGACCGTTTAACGGTTCCTGTCAACTGCTTTCTGTACTGCGCTGTAGCAGCTCTTTGTGTGACAGGTTCCATAGAATTATGTTACTCGCCAGTAACACATCATGGAAAAGCTACCCACATCCTCAAGTTTTAAACACCAGTGTCTTCAATGAAGCAGCTGACAAGAAATTTGCGAGAGGCGCGTGTGATTGGGCTGCCGTGAAAGGGTTTCTATCTCGAGGACAAAAAGCGACTTTTGCACGTTTCCAGCGCGAAACATTTTTCGCTGGAGTCAATTCCACTCATGATCAGCGGTGGACCTGAGGTTCCCGCAGCGAAAATGTTTCGCGCTGCGAAACGCGAAGAAGTCGCTTTCTGTCCTAGTGAACCACACTCGCCGCGAATACTGCATGTTGAATCACCAACGTTGGAAACTTTGAAAATGAAACTTGATTGTTGATATCCGGTACTGAGTAGATTTTTTTTCAGAGGCTCAGAATTGATGAAGCGGTACGTTACGAAGGTGAGAGGCAATCGTAATCAGTATCAAAAGAGTTGCCGCAGACTGGGATAATATTTTTGTCTGTGCTATTTGGGCGCATTTGATAGTTCTGTTCCTGGGTCATTGCGATCTTTTAGCTCTTATCTCTTCATAGTTCCATGCCGTAATTAGGATTTGAGCATTATTCTTGTTGATAAGACTTTTTACAGCTGAATTGCTTACGAAAACATATCATTTTTGATTCCTCCTTCAAGCTCACGTTTTGTAGTGAAGATTCCCGCCTTTTTTTGATAGCCTTTTTCGTGATTTTATGTTCACTGCTGTAGATATTGTGTCCATAATGAGTCCTTTATATTGAAGTTTTCATGACTGGTATCAACAAGCACATGTCGTTGAACACGCTCTTATGTATATAGTTTAAAGTTTTATTAGGAAGAAATGGGGGCAGTCAAGTTGCTGACAAGTCCCTTGATCGAAGCGATATATGGGTGTGAGCTCAGGTGAAGAAATATTTGTGCATGTTTTCTGGATAAATTTTCTTTGATTGTTACTCAATTAAATTGTGGTGATTATTTCACTGCTTACTGGAAAATTTGAGGAGCTTACTCTATAGTAACTATCGTACAAACTTTCCATAGATGACCTGTTTTGTCACGGTTGGCACGACAAGGTTTGATCAGATGGTCAATGAGGTATGTTCTACCAAGCAGCTCATCTGCTTTTTCTTCTACCAGTTTTTTTACTGCTTGATTACAGGTGCTAAGTGAGACGTGCACGTCAACTCTCAAGAATTTGGGGGTGAAAAGGATAACAGTACAATTTGGAGCTGGTGAATGGAACGAGGAAGTGAGGCATCGCGTTTTTGGAGGTGTGGTTGCGGACCAGGGAGAAGGCGAGGTAGGTTATCAGTATTCTTCATTCATAATCAATGAAGTTGATCGTTATCTAGTTGAAGTACATGTTCGTTGTTATTGGCAGTGAATTATAAAGAATCTCTGCAGTGGAGCGTTTCAGTCTCGCCGCTAATGTCTTTGGGAGGGAGTGGGAGCATTCAAGTGAGTGAGCCACTTACATTGCTTGAGATTGAGCCTTAGGAAGGGAAAGGGATTTTGGGGGAGGA